TACAAAATTTAAGTATGGTCCGATAAACCATGTACTGATCTTAGAGAAATGAATGTGGGAGAGTGTCGCACCATTCCAATGGAATCATGAGTTCGGATTGAAACAATACATTTTGCATCTTTGTGATACCTGTGCGAATCATCGGCTGACAGCAGTTTGATCGTGAATAGCGTCCGTCACCAACAACAGAATCAATAATCAAGCAACAGGCGTGGCTTTGTGGGATTTTGAATCGCTCTGCGCCAGCATTGTACCACGTACAAGACAGCGCATGGGAGAGTGTGTCTTCACACGAGTAGTCGAGGCTGTCCTTGACGTTCTGGAACTTGAAAGGTCGAAGCAGAATGCCGATTTTCCAGCGCGAGACGCACTCTTCTTTCCTCTCTACAGCCACCTGCAGCTCACGTAGCATCTGCGGCGACACTGAGAGACCGAGCGTAGTGATGACGTTTAAATACGCCTTCCGCTTCATCCGACAAGACAATATTCGGCGCTCCCCAGTCGTTCATTCCCGTCGAGCACACCGCTCCGTTCGCATCTAGCTGATCGGCTAGTGCAAGAGCTTCAGACGTGAGTCGACTGTAATCTCCAGCTGCTTCATCCTCGGACGCAATGGCTTGTAGGTCTTCGTACGCAGGTTTGCTCATCGTCGCATCCGACCTAAAGGCGCTGAGTTGAAGGAGAACTTTCCGACAAGAACAGACGCATCCAGAACATCCGTCATGCATGACCGAGTCGAGTTGACTGTAGCTGAACTAGGGGTCCGATAAAGAACTAGGCGGTTGATACGTAGCCTGTAGCTCCGAAGATGGAGATCAGAAGTCGCGGAGCGACCACACAGCGTCCGATTACCGCAGTCACGGCGCTGATCTCTAGCAGTCGCAACTTGGTAGAGCGACTGTGTTGACGTCGCGATCGACTCCGTTGGGGTATCCAGACGAAAGCTTTGACTCTGTCGATCCATGCTCGTCTTGACTTGAGTGCTTGCGAAGCTGTTGGCGCTTGTACTACGCAACCCTCTCGGACTACAGATTCGCTTCCAGTACGGCCACCTGGAGGAACAGCACTCGATGTCATGCAGCCCACTGTCCGACGTTGTGTGCTTCAATAAAACTTCCAAAGATACCCGTTTAGAAACTCAATGACTGCATTAGAAAACGATCAAAGCATAACGAGGTATCGTAGATTTCAAGCTCGTGTTACTTAGTGCAGGGGCCAGAACGCGTTGCCTTTGGTGGACGTCGCTTTTGGTACCGCCCGCGTCTTGGCTATCACGAGAGCGTCCTCCGTCTCCAGGGCGTGGTTGGGATCCGGACACTCTCCGCCTTCCCAGTCAGCGAGCGAGCGGGCCGAGAGACTAACGACAAAGCGATCTAGAAAGGCTTGCTCACTGGCTTCACGCAGATCCATCAAAGTGGTTGGAGTCTGCGCCAGCATAAACGCCACCGACTTTCGTGTCACCTTGAGCACCACTAGACAGCAGAAAGCCACGTCAGTAAACCCACTGGAGTTATCTAGCAGCAACGGAATCAATACTTTGCACCTCCGAACTCCATGTACGTCGCATTAAGACGGTGCCAGATCGCGTCCATCTTGATAAAAGCTGGTCCAAAGCGTTGACAAGTCAGCTCCTAGTCAACCACACTGCTCCTCGATTCGCTTACCCAAGAAGAAGAGCTCATAGAATGCGGCAGGTTCTTCAAAGAGCGGCCAGTAAGCGTTCTTCTTGTCTGCGAACCTCCCGTCTCCCAGTTGCAAGAGCCCCGCCAACAAGCACGTCAAGTTGATTCCAGCGACACAGACCGGGTACCATCTCTTGTGCTTCCCGTCCTGCGCGTCTGGCATCTGCTCGTAATGGATCGCCCTCATCTCCATCGGATGCGCTTCAAACGCGTACAGCAGACACTTCACGGCCAGCACGCCTCCTCCTCTAAAGTCCGTCTCGGGACTGGCATTCTGGAACCCCAGCTGCACCCAGTCCACGTCCTTCCGGTCGTATTTCTCGTCCTGCGTCCTAGCGCCCACATCTCTCCACAGTCGCTCTAATGAGGCCTCAAACCACTCGTCGCCAGCGGAGACCTTCCGTGTCAGGTCCTTCTGAAGCTCCGTGAGTTCTCGAATAACCTGCGGTGACGGAAACCCTGCAGGACCGTTCTTGTCCTGACTCGTAGAATTGGTCCGAGATCGTCGTCCTTTCCAGGATTCTTTAACGGATTGCAGCTTGGTTGTAGCTGCCACTAGCAGGTCTTCAGCGGTAGGCTCTCGCTTCTGTGAAAAGCTGAGGGTGGCCGGTGTGGAAGGCACGCGGAGTCTGCGCAGGGTTCGTCCTAGTCTAGATCGGGACTCAGATCCTGTAGAGTCTGCGTCCTGTAGAGTATCGACGTCGGCTTCTAGAGCGATGCATAGAGTTCCGCACATTTCGCACTCGGCGAGCTCTGGATGGTTATGGAACGTACAGACGCGGCAGGTCCAGGCGTCCTGAACGTCGTCTGGAGCGGAGAAGGAGCGCGCAAACGGCGTGGCGGCATCGCTGGTGCTGTGTAAGGAGAGAAGCTCCTCTTGGATATCAGGTGGTAACGCGGCGAAAACGCTCGGGTCGATAGAAGAAGGAGGGGTGGAGAACGGTCTTGCTGAGTCGGCCATCTTTATATTTTATGCTTGAAGTCGTTTAGAAGGTGTCGCAGGAGCTGTAGTACTTGCTTATTAGAATGCAGTACAGTGGGTACAGAATGTCTACGTCCAAACAGCTGGCGAGATCAAATCCTGAATTTTTGAGTAGTGTATTGATCCAGCCAATCAGTGCAAAATATCATCGAATAGCGCAGACTGTAACGAATCAGAAGCTATTTTCACTTTGACGAGACGATATTTGCATCGCAAGTTATGGGGCGTCAAGTCCCTCAGGAGGGAAAAAAGGGGACAACCGTTAAGCCATTCTGCGTTTTGCCACAAGGTAAGAGCCGCAGACAGCCTCATTGCCGCAGTACTAACAGTTTTTCAATGGATCTAGAGTGGAGCATTCGCGGCAGATCCGCGACCTCTGCGTCGCAAAACGCCACGACGGCCAAACCTATCAGGCTATCGCGGATGAGCTCAAGCTCCGAGTCTCTAGCGTCAAAACCATTGTTTCCAACAACGGCCACACGCACTCCTTACTACGTTCTGGCCGCCCTCGGAAGACGACAGTCCGCCAGGACCGCCAGATCGTGAGGGAAGCGAAGAAAAATCGTCGCCTTAGCGCTGGAAAGCTGGTCAGTGTGGTCGAAAAGGGCCACGGCATCGCTCTGTCAAAGCAAACAGTGCGAAACCGCATTAAGGATGAAGGCTTTAATGGTCGTGCAGCTCGAAAAAAACCTTTTTCGAGCAAGAAAAACATCAAAGCGCGATATGCGTATGCACGTCAGATGTTGAAGTTGAAGGACGATGACTGGAAAAAGGTAGTGTTCAGTGATGAGTCGTCTGTATGGCTCACTGGGGCTGCGGGGAGGGTTTTTGTTTGGCGTAAGCCTGGGGAGGAGTTCAAGAACGATGTCTAGCCCCTACGTTTAAGTCTGGGAGAGAGACCTTGATGGTTTGGGGATGTATCACCTACGAGGGTGTGGGTGCACTTCACATGTGTGACTCAAATATTACTGGTGCGTACTACAAGAGCATTTTGGAGCAAAATCTGCAAGCGACGGTCTCTGTGCTTGGTATTGGCAACGACTACAAGTTCGTACAGGATGGTGCTCCTGGCCATCGTGCTCGTCTAGTGAAAGACTACCTGAAAGAAAAAGAGGTGGAACTTCTACCCCATCCAGCCCAGAGCCCAGATCTCAATCCAATCGAGAATCTCTGGGCTCTAGTCAAGCAAGAACTGTCCAAACGACCTGCGTCAAGTGTGGACGACTTGAAAGAGAAAATCCAGGAGATTTGGTACGATATCGAGCCGAAAACCGTTCAAGATCTCTACCACTCCATGCCGAAGCGCCTACTTCAAGTTAGACAACCGAGGGGGTCACACGAAGTACTAAAGGTGCGTGAAAGCTTCAGATAGTGTTCGTATGGCTACTACTACAACATGGGATGCAAAAGTGCAGCTCTTAAAAGTTGAGAATAACAAAATAGACTTTCACTTTTTTTGCCATAATTTTACTTCTTTTTTGTTTGAGTGGGCTCAACTTCTACCAGCTTCTGTCAATCTGGTCAAATGATAGTTTGTTGAAAAGCCTTCACGTCAGGCATTCATATCATGCATAGTAACCAATCTAAATACCGTCAGGGACCAAACGCCGTGGGCCAACAGACGTTGGACGTAGACTTTCTGTACCCACTGTACTACTACCTCGAAGTATCAATTTGTTGCATGTAATATTAGGATTCTACTACCGGTAGTACGACTAATAGTGCTCTTAATACTACTGAGGTAGATTGTAACTGGTTTGTGGTGGCAGCCGCGAGCCAACCTGCAGCCTGCTGACAAGACCCAAACACAAAGAGGCAGATATCGCGAAAATGTATTATCGATCAATCCTTAGGAGTCTAACGCTCGAGGCAAGAAACGTACATGTAAACGTCAACGTTCACTGGTGACGCATACTGTACATGTACAGCAGTGCCCCCCCCGACTAAATTTTAATCAAAATCATGAGGCGATCGTCGGTCAGCCGCGAAAAAATCCAACGCGAAACAAATATCTTGCTCTCTACAAACATTAAGTTGTTCGGGGATGGGTACCTGTTGTTGACAACCTATTAATAACTGTTGGAACCGAGCGTAAGCTTTATGAAGCACGCCAAGAGACCAGCAGTTTGCATTGAAAGTTGTCGCGTTTGACACCGAAACCTGTCGAGATCTCTGGGCTTCTATTCTCCACCCTGTTTTACCACCGAGAGCTGTTGAGGTCGTTCTTCATTCCTAAATTCCCCAAGAAAGCCAAGAATCCTGATGCAACTCGCTCAATACGTTGCAGTGTCGGTCTTGACACTCTGGTGGACGACCACAACTGTGTTCGTTACGGCAAAGAACAACTCTTTGGCATACCCCACTAAGTCGGGTCTTCTACCTTGGGTGGACGCCGACACTCCCAAGAACAAATACGTTTATACCAGCTCTCGCGGTCGGCGATGGGACCTTGTGATGAGCGACGAGTTCAATGTGGCTAACCGCAGTTTCCGACCGGGTGACGATCACATGTGGACTTCTCTTGAAAAGCCCGACGGTGTCAATGGTGCACTTGAGCTTTACTCTCACAACATGACCTCGACCAAATGCGACGACGACGGTACCTGCTACTTCTACATTGAGACCATCGACGAAGTGAACGTTATTCACGTCTACAACATGTACACGCATCCTCCAAGTTTCGAGGACGTCTACTTCTGGTATCGTGGCGCAATGGTACAGTCGTGGAACAAGTTCTGTTACCAAGGCGGCATGTTGGAAGTACGAGCTCAACTTCCAGGGGTGACGGACCCGGATTCAGGCAACCCGGATGTTGCACTCGGAGAGGACGGTAAGGTCCAAAACACAAAGTATTATCCGACATGGCCCGGTATTTGGATGCTGGGTAACCTCGGGCGCGCCATTTTCTCGGCGTCGACGAACCGGATGTGGCCCTATTCGTACAATGAATGTGACGCCGACGTCTTTGATCCAAGTTTCCAGCGTATCAGCGCGTGTGACAGTAATCCAGGCTACGGTCTCAACCCGAATCAAGGTCGCGGGGCTCCCGAGATCGACGTGCTCGAAGGTGGTGGGTTGGCTATCTCGTCTTCACTTCAGATCGCTCCCGGTATGCCCGATGACTATCGTCTCTTTCCTGTGGACACGTCTACCGGAGACTTCAGCTTTTGTTTGTACAGCTACAATTGTCTGACACCCGGTGCTAACTACATCGACGTTCCGGCATCGTACTATGAGCAAGAGCGCGGCCACAAATCGTGGTATCAAGGTCTTCGCTATGCTGCCAACAATTATTGTGACCAGAATGCAGAAGAAGTACAAGACTATGACACGGTCGCTGCGTCCGTTAAGAAAGGTGTCACCGAGAACACGTGCGCTGTCGATACCTGTCCTGCTTCTGGCGATGTCAACGCTGACCTAAGCTTCATCGATGGAGGGAAGAACCACTGGGGTATCAACTCCAACGGCACGTGTTATCCACTCATGAACTCGTACTTGGGGTCGTACTTGTGTGACCCGGACAACACGTTTTCCAAGTGCGCCAGTCCTCGTAATGAGACCTCGACGCCCAAGTCGAATGCCATGAAACCTTTCAACTACCAGATGGACGCTATCTCTTCCAACTGGCCGATCCATTTCGGTGCATACACAGGTTTCTATGACTACCAGGTGGAGTGGGTTACTGGTGAGAATGGCTACGTTCGATGGTTGCTACATGGCGAGCCGTTGTTCGAGGTCACGACTGAATCGGTCGTCAACGTACCACAGAATGCGAACAAGACGAACCCGAAGAAGATTATGATTGAGGAACCTTTGTACGTGATCTTCAACGTGGCTCTATCGAGTTCGTGGGGTACGACGCCTCCGAACCCGGGCCAGGAGTGTCGCGGTGACGGCAAAGACAACACGACGAACATTATCTGCGACTCTTTCCCAATGTTCATGAAGATTGACTACGTCCGTCTGTACCAAGATCTAGGGGATGACCTCGAAGCCGACAACTACATGCACGTTGGCTGTGACCCGGCCAGTCACCCGACGAAAGAGTGGATTGACGCGCACATTGAAGAGTACGAAGATGACGACAACAAGTGGGAGGAGGTCTCGGGTAAAGCGTTCTGTAAGACTAGTGACGACTGCACCATCGGCGGTACTCTGTCCAGGACAGCTCTGAAGACGGGCAAGTGCGTTAATCAGCGTTGTGAGTGTTTGTACCATTCGTGGGGTGGTCCTCGCTGCACTACCGCCGTCACCGGGTCGAGTTCCGCTGGTCTTATGAGTAGGACGTTTGGTCCTCCGATAGAGGCTGCAATTGCCGTTACTTGTGTGATTATTCTGGCGACGATGGTCGTGGTTCACGCGGGTTCCGTCACCACTGTGAAGAAGAATAAGACCATAATGGAGGCTGAGCAAAAGGTTGATCCGGTCAGCTCAGCCCCGGTCAGCGAAACCAACAGCAGTCGCGCCTCGCACCACGCAACGCTGTCAAAAGACAATTATCATCAGAACTTCGTTTAAATGCGTGTGCAGTAGATGTCATAGGGTGCTCAATTCAACAAAGCTTAGACAAAGTTCTGGCTGTAGTTGTCCTGTGGCCGGCCTTGGTCGCTGGTATAGGACGTTTTCACTCGGCTGTCGCCACTATTATCGGGCTTCTTCTCCGTCGTGAACTTAGGCTTCACCACCATGAAGATGGACCAATACACCGAGATGAAGGACAAGAACAGAATAACAGCCGCCATGCCGATCGACAGCCCCATGGGGGTACCATAGGAGCTCTTAGACACTGAACTCGAACTTGAGCTTGTCGAGCTCGAAATGGCCGTTGTGCATTGCGGTCCGCCCCATGACGACGAGAACGTGCACTGGCATCGCTTCTTCACACACTTGCCTGTCTTCAGCGCTGTCTTGCCGAGATTTCCGCCGATCGTGCAGTCATCGTCGACGGTGCAGAAGGCCTTCCCAGCCACGTCTTTGTGGCGGTTGTCGTCGTCTTCGTACTCGTCGATATGCGCCTCGATCCACTTTTTGGTCGGGTGGCTCTTCGGGTCACAACCAACCTGCATGTAGTTGTCCGCGTCGACATCATCACCCAAGTCCTGGTACAGCCGCATGTAGTCGATCTTGAGGTACTTCGGGAACGAGTCACAGATCTTGTTGGTGACGGGGTCTTTGCCGTCTCCGCGGCATTCCTTGCCAGGGTTCGGAGGTGTAGCGCTCCACGAACTCGACAACGCCACGTTGAGAATAAGGGACATGGGCTCTTCCAGCATCACCTTCTGTGGGTTGGTCTTGTTCGAGTTCTGAGGTACCTTCGAAAAACGCGTCCGTCGTAACCTCGAACAATGGACTCCCAGCCAGCATCCATCGCACGTAGCCATTCTTGCCGGTAACCCACTCAATCTGGTACTCAGCATAGCCAGTGTACGCGCCAAGGTGCCCGGGCCAGTTCGACGATATAGCGTCCATCTGGTAGTTGAATGAGCTCATGGCATTCGACTTGGGCGTGGTACTCGCGTTACGAGGCAGAGCACACTTGGAGAAGGTATTGTCGGGATCGCACAGGTACGCGCCCATGTATAATTCACAAGCGGGTAGCACGTGCCATTCGTGTTCATCCCCCAGTGGTTTCCTCCGTTGTCGTCGATCAGTCCGATGTCAGCGTCCACATCACCCGAAGCTGGACATGTAGACGCTGTACATGAGTTCTCTGTGATTCCTTTCTTGAGTGACGCAGTGACCGAGGCGTAGTTCTGTTTGGCGTCAGCGTCTGGTTGGCAGAAGTTGTTTGACGCATACCGAAGGCCTTGGTACCACGACTTGTGGCCACGTTCCTTTTCGTAAAATGCCGTCGGGACATCGATATAGTTGGCGCCAGGAGTAGTGCAGCTATAGCCGTAAACGCAGTACAAGTTGTCTCCGGCTGAGGTGTCCACAGGGAAAAGACGGTAGTCATCCGGCATTCCGGGGGCAATCTGCAGTGACGACGACACAGCGAGACCACCTCCTTCGAGCAGATCGATCTCAGGCGCACCACGACCTTGATTCGGGTTCAAACCGTAGCCAGGGTTGTCGTCACATGCACTGATGCGCTGGTTGGCCGGGTCAAACACGTCCAGCTCACATCGATCGTAGGAGAACGGCCACATTCGGTTTGTCGATGCTGAAAAGATGGCTCGACCAAGATTCCCCATCATCCAGATTCCAGGCCACGTCGGGTAGTACTTGGTCGTCTTGACCTTGCCGTTTTTCCCTAACGCCAGGTCCGGGTTTCCAGACGCTTCAGTTACAGCCCCAGGAAGCTGAGCGCGCACATCCAACATGCCACCTTGAAAGCAGAACTTATTCCAGGACTGGACCATCGCCGCTCGATAGAAAAAGTAGGCATCCACATATCCGGGAGGGTGCGTGTACATGTTGTACACATGAATGACGTTCACTTCGTCTACAGCCTTGATGTAGAAGAAGCACGTTCCGTCGTCGTCGCACATTGTAGACGTCATGTTATGTAAGTACAGCTCCATGGCTCCGTTGACTCCGTCGGGCTTTTCAAGAGATGTCCAGATGTGGTCGTCGCCCGGTCGGAAGCTGCGATTGAGCGTGTTGAACTCGACACTCATGACGAGGTCCCACGTCCGTCCTCGAGAGCTGACGTACGTCTGACGATCATCAGGCGTCTCGGGGTCGACCCACGCCCGGATCCCCGACTTGGTTGGAAACGTTGTACTCGCCGTGGTCGCATTCTTAGCTGATACCGTCGCTGAAGTCACCACAAAAGCAACGACGAAACCCCATGACATAAACCGCAGTAGCATTGAGTCTACGAGTGAGGCTGAGCCGCAAAGTTTCAAAGTGATGAAAACCAGTTCGACTGAACTGTACCGACTCATCCTGAGCAGGGCAAAGCCTGGCCTTTGCGGCCAGGCATTCGACTCGGAATCTGAAGCGGCTGGCCAGCGGATGTCGTACATGTAAGCTTAGCATGCTTAAAATTGCACACGACAAGCCGACACATGTGCAATCGTCCGTCGAGTCTAATTAAGTGGAACAGCCCGTGGGGGGGGGGCGGAGGCTCTGTCGTCGACAGCGTCGGGGCCACACTCTGCGGTGTCCATTGCGACCGCTGTTATTATACAGCGGCGTAATATTACCGGTATACAGTGTAGTACATGTACCGGTATGCCGGCAGAAGCACCGTTCGTTTGCGCGTTTGTAGCGAACGTGAGGCTATCCGAGTTGAGGCGTACGTAATCCGACGTCTTCGGACGATGATTAGCAGGAAGGCTTTGGCACCAGTCACGATCAAATTCGGGATCTGTCGTCTCCGAAAGCAGTCGCATTCCAGGCCTCACACACACAGCGAACCAAACGCGACTAAAGAGAGCAACTGGTGAAAGCTTCTCACCAAGTCTCGTAGCTTTGATCCAACTGCACAAGCTCAGCGCAGCAACGGTATCCATCGGATGGTCGAAGCGATCCTTCAGTTTGGTGGTGTTTGCGCTCATCCAACTTCAAAGTGCAAGTCCCGGCTTTCCTTTCCCAGTGCTGTGCACCGTGCACAGCAGGACAACATTCGGATTCCTGCCTCGAGACAAGATAATCTTGCAAAACGGGGGGGGGGGTCTTCAGTGCGATACAATAGCAGCATCACAATGATGAAACTTCGCCCCTCGCCGTTCACCCTTCTCCAAATTGTGAGCAGCCACTTGCTCTCATGTAAAAACTCATGGCGCCTTGCCACTTCATAAAACTCCGTTCGCGCCGTCCGCCTCGAGCAATGAACGTCGGAATGTCGACCGCTACAAACGACCGCTTACTGGTTCTTGACAAAAGCCGTCGTATGAAATACTAGTACTGTAGTATTATGTCTGGCATCCGTCTGACTGCACAGCACTCAAAAAGTATTCGTGGTCTCGGATAGCGCTCCACCGGGTACGAGTGGGGCTCACACTTGATGAAACTGTAACGCTCTATGGTAGTTCTTGCACTCACTTGATTAAGTTGATAGTTAGGTAATTCTTTCGAGAGTTAGACGAAATTCTGACTGTAGTTGTCCCTCGGTCTCTGACGAGGGTCGCTTCCGTTGCCATGTGACTGCCGTTCGGCGTCGTATTTGACCTGCGCATCGTTGCCGCGGTGGCCCAGGTCTGCAGCAATCTTGCCCTGCTTTTGGAGCAAAGCCGCTGCCTTCTTCTCCTTCTTTGACGACCACATCACCGACACGAAACTCAAGAACACGATAATAGCCGCGATACTAATCGACATGCCGAATGGAGGGCCATACGCGTTAGTGCTGACGGTCTTGCTGGCGACGGTGCTTGAAGAGGAGCCAGAGACGGCTGTAGTACAACGCGGGCCACCCCACGACGACGAGTACGTGCACTGGCATCGTCCCTTCACACACTTGCCAGTCTTCAACAGCGTCTTACCCAAGGTACCTCCAATCGTACAATCATCGTTCACAGTACAGAAGGCCTTGCCAGCAACCTCCTTGTGTTTATTGTCGTCGTCCTCGTATTCATCGATATGAGCGTCAATCCACTTCTTGGTAGGGTGCGTTTCGGGATCACAGCCAACGTGCATGTAGTTATCGGCATCAAGATCATCTGCCAAGTCCTGATACAGACGGATGTAGTCGATCTTCAGGTACAACGGGAAGGCGCCACAGATCTTGTTGGCCTCTTTATCGGAGCCGTCGCCGCGGCATTCCTTGCCCGGGTTGGGCGGCGTGGCACCCCACGAACTCGACAACGCGACGTTGAAAATGAGGTACATCGGCTCCTCCAGCATCGTCTTGGTCGGATTCGTTTTGTTCGTATTCTGCGGGATATCCCAGATAGCCTTGGACGGCACTTCAAACAGCGGGCTACCCATGAGATTCCATCGCACGTACCCGTTCTTGCCGGTGACCCACTCGAGCTGGTAAGTCACAAACTCCATGTACGCGCCGAGATGCACGGGCCAATTGGCCGAGATGGCGTCCATCTGATAGTTGAACGAGCTCATGGCGTTCGACTTGGGTGTAGTAGACTCATTTCGCGGCTGGGCACATTTGTAGAATGAGTTGTCCGGGTCACACAAGTAGGCGCCGGTGTACACGTTGAAAAGTGGGAAACAGGTGCCGTTCGTGTTGATACCCCAGTGATCATCGCCCTTGCCGTCAATCAAGCTCAAATCGCCGTTGACGTCGTTTGAACCAGGACAAATGTCCACCGAGCACGAGTTCTCAGTGATGCCAGATTTCACGGATGCAGCAATTGTGCTGTACGATTGCTTGGCATCGGCGTCCTGCTGGCAGTAGTTGTTGGCTGAGTAACGCAGTCCCTGGTACCAGGACTTGTGTCCACGCTCCTTCTTGTAGTACGCCGTCGGGACGTCGACGTAATTCGCGCCGGTACTCATGCACGAACCAGCATAGATACATGACGAACTGTCTCCGCTTGAGTAGTTAACGCCAATAACACGGTACTCATCAGGCATACCAGGTCCAATTTGAAGTGACGACGACACAAGCGTAGCGCCGCCTTCCAACACGTCAATCTCAGGGGCGCCACGGCCTTGGTTTGGGTTCAATCCGTAGCCCGGGTTGTCGCTACACGCGCTGATACGTTGGTACCTCGGGTCGAAGAGGTCCGGCTCACACTTGTCGTAGGAGAACGGCCACATGCGGTTCGTTGATGCCGAGAAAATAGCTCGACCAAGGTTCCCCATCATCCAGATGCCGGGCCACGTTGGGTAGTACTTGGTCGCTTCGACCTTGGAGTTTTTGCCCTTGGCAAGATCGGGATTGCCAGAGTCGGGTGCGACGACGCCCGGGAGTTGTACGCGCGTTTCGATCATTCCACCCTGGTAGCAGAATTTGTTCCACGACTGAACCATTGCTGCGCGATAGAAGAAGTAAGCGTCCACAAATCCGGGAGGGTGCGTGTACATATTGTAGACGTGGATGACGTTCAATTCGTCGACAGCCTTGATGTAGAAGTAGCACGTTCCGTCGTCGTCGCATTTGGTCGAAGTCATGTTATGCGAATAGAGTTCAAGCGCACCGTTCACACCGTCGGGTTTCTCCAGCGACGTCCAGATATGGTCATCACCCGGTCGGAAGCTGCGGTTGGGAGTGTTGAACTCGTCGCTCATGACGAGGTCCCATTTTCTGCCGCGCGAGCTGATGTACGTCTGGTGGTTGTCGGGCGTTGCAGGGTCGACCCAGATCTTGATTCCCGACTTTGTCGGGTACGTCGCACCTGCCGTCGTATCGTTCTTAGCCGCCGTGACGAACGCTAACGTGACCACCCAAACCACGACCGTAACCCACGTTGAGTATTGTCGAAGCCGCATTATTGTTTCTGGGGCTAGGATGGAAAGTCTAGCGCGTCCAGTGTGTGGGCTTGTGAGCTTGGAGCGGCAATTTGCCGAGTGAGGCGCCTGTCGAATTGATCGCAGACGTCGCGAAAGCTGAAAACTCCCCGGCTACCAAGCATTTGCCACTCCAGAGTTCTTCCTCCTTCTGTCGAGCCCACAGAACGATAATAAAACAGGCACTCGTTTAGCGTAATCTGGGGCTGTTTTCTGCTCCGCTCGATGCGAGCCGCGCTCATGTTTTGCTTGTCGAATCCCATGGCTGACGATACATACGGAGAGACATGGCAGGCGGCACTCGTTGAGGCTTGGGAAACGCGTGGGCCCCGGCCCAAGTGGCTCACGGCAAAAGGGCAATATCCGCTGGACAGAGCTCAAATTCGATCCTGTGCATTCCTGGTTGTAATCGTACAAATGAAGAAATGTATACTTATCCATAGTACTGTAATTTCTGCGGGAACTCTTAGTAGGGACTTCTGAATTAGGTATTCCCAGCATAAACGTGCATGATTATGAGCCCGTTTATCTGCATACATGTACTTAAAATGCAGATAATTATCGATTTACAGCAGATCATGACTTGTCGAATTGGCGTTTTTAATGATATGTGCATTGATACAGTATCTATTATTGATAAAACGCACACTGTGCAGATTGCACTGCAGTGCATGTACATGTACAGTACCGGTAGATACACCTTCACAGACGCTGTAAATTACAGCCTGTAATAAGGTGCAGGTTCCAGTTGGACTGCTCGCGTCTCAGGAGACCACCAGCTTGATGACGCCGTGGTCAAATCGAGATCTGCAAGCAGGTACTGTACTGTACACGTACTGTACCTTTCCTATCCTGAGGAAGCTATCTTGAAAAGTCACGGCAAGCACACATTCTCAGCAAGCGATGTTTTTTACGTGTAAGTTGGATAAAAACTACAAGTTGAGCATCGATTCGCTACGGCTTCCATGTCTTACCCGTCGATTGCTGGATGGCCGCGAGCCCTGCCGTACAGGGCTCACAACGTGCGAGCTAAAGGATTTAACCCCATCCAAGTGCATGATTTTGTGATTCGCTTCTGATGATGTCCACACAACGTAGCGATACAAATCCTGGCACGGATCTGAACATACATGTGTTCTTACGGTGCAAAGGACATGTTTACACCGTATCGTGCGTCCTTAACATGACGTCCGCTACTGTAATGAAAAAAAATATCAACGTGTGGCCACTCTCATAGAAAGTGTTTCTATTAATACATTGTAAAGCTGCCATAACTATAATACGTTCACAGTTTTCGGGCAGCATGCCACGTACATAGCGAGACAGAATTTATAGTGACGGACTTTGTCAGCTATTAACACGTGTACAGTAATTCGTAAACCTCCACCAGTGTTTCTTTTTGTGCTCTGTTTTAAACAAGCATGGTCGGAGATTCAAACAAGGCATAAAAATGAACTGGGAAGAGGCAGGCGCCTGTTTTCGAATTACCGGTACATGTACCTTATAAAAGGCAAAATTGGACCTGTCCTG